GAATTTGTCATCCATGACCTTGAAAAAACATGTTTAACAGAAGAATCTTGCTTACTCTTGAAAAAGACAAAGAATACCTGCCCTCAGGACTAGTCAATCTTTATCAAGTTACACTGCTTACATGATAAAAAGTTTAATATTACAGTGCCTAATTATTTTCCTGTTCTCTCATCTTCCCTGTTCCTTAGGCATTGCACCATAAGACAACTTACTCACAGAACAACTGAAATGCACAGAATGCAAGTGATCCTACCCATATTTCAACATTTGGATCTTAAAATGAATTCAAACTTTTACCCTGATTCAAACATATTTTGAAGAATTGGCCAAGTCTTAGTTTGATTAGGGCAGCCTTCTCTTGGTATTACACATGCCTTAAAAACAGTATGGGGCAGGGGGAATTAAAAGTTAATGCCACTTATATACTCAAGAACAACTAATCTAAAAAGTGTTTTCATTATCTCACCTTATCCATGACAGACATTTATTTCTACTCCTATTCAAAGATCTGCATGCCTACAAATAAAGTGTGTCCTCAACACCCTTTTGGGAAAGAACATGGTAGAAGCCCACAGAAACAGCCATTCAACACAAAAACTGATGATGAGTCCTTACACACAATAAAAGTGCTAATCCAACACCCAATAAAGAATTAAAGAAAATAACTGCTTGCTTGGATGTTTTTCATTTCAGGTGTGAGAGCAAGTCATTGGGGTAACAGAGGAGTTCACACTTTAAAATCCACACCAGCTATGACAACAAAAACTGAGACACAGTATTCCAGCTGATCTTCAGCAGTCACATTTAAACAAAGTCAGTTCTCTGACACACAGAATTACTGCAATACAAGATACAGTGAGACATAAAAGAATTAAAATGACATAAAAGAATTAAAAATGTGAAGAATTAGGCCCAGTGTGTACAGGGACTTGGTGATTTTCTTGAAGATACTCCCACAGCTGTAGAGCCCAAGTGTCACCTGGACTGCAGAGCAATGCAGTACATCTGCACTACTCCCACTAGGAGAGGGCCACAAGTGCCAGCAGTCTTGGAACACTCCCCAGATCACTTCAACAACAAACACCTTCTGAAACATGCACATCCTAGTTCACCTCGTTCTTTAACCACTGAGTCAACACACACTGAACTCTAGGGACTCAAGGTAGCTCCACTGACCCCCAACTTTTCCCAAAAAGCAGAGACAGACATATTCCCCAGGAGTAAGACAGAGGTTTCTAAGGCTAACCTATGGGACCCAGCAACATCATCTTTACTGAGCCTAGGCAAAAAAGTTTAACACATTGCTTTTGGTCAACACACACTTCTATTTCAACACTAAAGACCAAAGTGATTCAAACTTATTAGGTCAACACCAGAGACTGCAGAAGAAAGGTAGAACACAGCAGGAAATAAGAGTCTATACAAGCAAAATTCTGACACCAGCCCTGCAGCTCAGTTACCACCATGAATTAAACTATAAACTTCTTTTCAGAGCCTCTGCTTGCCAGGTACATGCAAATATGCAAAATTAGGCTTGGGATGAAAATAAGTTCCAGCAGATACACAAGTTATCTTCACAGCCACAGAAAATCGAATCCTGCTATTCATCTGCTTTGTTTTGACTTTTCGCAAACATCTCCCAGCTCTTGATCAGGCTTCTGAGAAGGTCCTCTACCTTATGACAATTGTTTTGAAGAAGTAAGGAGACATGCGTGGTCTTTTCAGAATACACACTGCAGAACTTCCTCCTGCTGCAAAGCAATTTACTCAGCAAAATAAGTCAAGGAAAATCCCAGACATTTCTATCATTTTCACAAACAGGAACTTGTTACAACCACCTGCAGATGCAACAACTTCACTAGTTTCCAATCCACTTCCCTAAATGAAAGCTTGAAGGTCTGAGTGAGATCCTATAAAAAGAGCTGAATTGAGATCTACCCACTTTTCCCTCATATATCATGTGGTTTCACATTTGGAAGTCATGTTATTTCCCTTCTCCCAAAGCATCTTGTTGATACCGTCAGAGTCATTCCCATTTGAGGCTTGAAGCAGCCTTTTACTTGGCCCACACAATTAAATCCTCAGTGAAGCCTTAACACATCTTTCAGAACAGTTCTAAGAATCAAGCTTCTATGCTGTGCACAAGTATTGCCTTCCCACTTGAATGATCAGCTTATATATTCTTAATGTAGCCCATTATATATCCTTAATGCAGCCCATATGCCTCATTCACCCACTGCAATGGCCCTTCCCACTGCATCAAAATAAAGTTGCTAACTCCCCACTTCTTCACAGGAATAATAATCTAGCTAACAAACACTGGTTAGCTGAAGGATAGGAATTCTTATAATTGTAGTGATCTTTAGACAATTTTTGGATAACACCAGTTTTGTAATACGAAAATGATCAGAGCTCAACTGTCCCACACCATCAGAGCACCCTAGATTTACATTCCTTTTCCCACCACAGGGAAAGCTCATTTAATGCCATCTGGCACTACTTCCAGCAGTTGTTGAAAATTCACTAGTAGGAGATCTAGAGTTCAAGAAAATGGTAAATCCTGTTAATAAGCATAAGATAGCAACCAAATGATACTTTAGTGCTCCTTCTCATGACCAGCCTGTCCAGCACTGAGAGCCCATGCCAAAAGACAGCAGCATCTATATTACAGTCTGGATTTGAAAGCTATAGCAAGTACAGAAAACCACACAAAAGTAAACATTTAGCAGCTCAGCTTTTCTACATTGAAGACATTATTTCTGTTCTTTTCTCCCTTACTTACACACCACCTTTCACCTTGTCACCTATGATCTCCCTATAACCCTCTGTAATTATTATCTTCTGCAGCAAACATATGAGAACAGGCATTATTGTATCCTATCCTTACAGGACTACTTAACCCATGTTAAATAGTTGATCTCTCAATTTAATTTACAAAGCCCAGTTGCTAAGTAGGGCAGTGGAAGAGAGGTTGTGTGACCTGACACCTGGCCTCTAAGACACTAAATAAAATTATGGAGTTCCCTAAGGACACAGAAGCCCAATGACAATATCAGAATTACAGCTCTTCATAAGGCATCATTCCAACCATCACTCTGGAATCTCAATTTTTAATTGTCTACACCCCTCATACATAAAACTTATTGTAAGGCACTGGGAAGTTTTACCTTTCATTCTTCACATCTTCAAATGCTACTTATCCAACCTGAAATGCACCCAGACAATTAAACTCTGAACTGTTATTTACAGCTTGTAAAAGAGAAAAAAAAAAAAAAAAAAAAAAAAAAAAAAAAAAAAAGAGCAGACATACGTCTTCCTAGGAAATGATAACTTCTTTTCCTCTTTTATGTGTGACATGCAGGTAGGTAAGAAATTCTGTCTTCTGTACACCCACTTTCTTGAATAGTACTATTAGCATCAATACCCAAACACAAGTCTTTTACAGTCCTTACTATAACGCTGGTAGATAATTCCTACCTCACTTTAATCCTGCCTATTCCAGATAGTATTTTTATTTACATGTATATACACACAGAAACACAGAGACACATAGACACAGCATGCTTTCAAATACATGAACCATGCATTTTTCAAGCTAAAGCTTCTAGTAGGAGATATGGTCTGTATAGGACAGTCCAGACACAGCCTAAAGTGTTTAAAAAGATTAAAAAGTGTTGACAGCTACCAAAAAACAACATAGAAGAAACATCAATAACCAAGATGATTTTTTTAAATATACAAGAAAACATGACAGAATATATCAAGACCAATTATCTACTTAAACAGTTTAGACTCCAGTGAGTCTTCAATCAATGCTGCTTACATCAGCATTTCTTGGACACATTGCAAGAGCATCTAGATATACTGAAAGACTAGTCTACTGTTTGCTACTTGGAGGGTAAGCTACAAAGTCATTAGAAGGGAAATCTGGAATTATTTTCCAGAAGTAATGCTACCCCCTTTTAACAAATACTGCATCATCAGAACTGCACTTACAAACACCTGCACCAGCATTACTTAGTAATGGCCAGCAGCCAAGAGACTGCCTGGTATAAAACCTGCTGATCTTTACTTGAATGTACTTTTTACCATGTCCAAAAAGACCATGGGAAGCCCACTTAGTTTTAAATATTAACACCTGCTGTTGATCTGCCAAGTTCAATGCTGGACAGAGATACTACTGGTAAACAAGGCCAATTAACACCCCACAACCAAATTCTTTCACCATTCTACTACTTGGTGTCTCCAAGCAGGGGCAGACAGTTGAAGTGAAATTGTCAGGATGAAACATGACTAGCTCGTTGTTTTCCAATAAAGGTTTTGTCTCACCCTTGCTTCATGCCTTAAATAGCTAATGTCAGTCCAGAAAGCACCAAAAATCTGAGATAAAGCCAACATCCATCTTCAATAAAACATTGACACACACTACTGGACAGCTCACAAAGTTGCTGTCTGACATCTGGGACCTCAGCAACAGCCCTTAAACTCTCCAAAGGTTGTCCCAGTCTGCAGCATGGCGTTATCCCACTGCCTTGCCATTTAAGCACGCCATCATCTGAACCTCTTCAGAAGTGGGGATGCAGTGCTGTGGAGATGGCCCTGCTCATGCTGGTGCTTGACCAGCTCTGGGAATATTATTTATGTATATCTCATCCTAGTTTAACCCTGACCAAAGCAGGCAGTGGCAAGCGCATGTCCATTTTGCCCTGTGATTCTCTTCCCCTGACACCCTGCTCCATAAGGCACTCTTTCCACTGTCTTCCTGGATAAAAGGCAAGAGGTCATGAGGAGAAAAAATGGCCGAAAGAGCAGTATTATGCAATAAGAGAAGAAATGCAATAATAACTCATCCTCTCCTGGAGATTTCCCATCACCCTCACGCTTTGCAAGCTGGATTAGAGCAAGCGTGACAGCCAGCCGGCTCAAAGGCCGCTGAAGTGCCCCGCGGGCAGGCTCCTCAGCCCCGGGCCTTGGCTGGGGAAACAAAAAGGGATGCTCACAGTCCAGGTGCTTTTTCTTGGGCCCCATCACTTCATGCGTGGTGGCTTTGCAGACGGCTCTGGCTACGGCCGATCCCGTAACGCTGTACTGAGCAGCTGCGATGCGATCTGTCAGCGTCTGACCCGACATCTTCGAACGGCGTGCTGGCTGCTGCCGGCTCTGCAGGGGCGAAAGACACGGGAGGGGAGGGGGAGATGCCGGGTCTGCGGCCGGGGGGAGGCACGGAGGGACAGGCAGGGGCGGCAGGGGCACGGGCACGGGCACAGCCTCGCCACACGCACAATGGTCCCCGGGGCAGCCCGGCCCCTCCCGAGGCGCAGCCCCCCCGCCCCGTTGTGTAAGCCTCTGCCTCGCTGGAAGCCGCCCGGGGCAGGAACGAGGGTATTTTAGGCGTTGCGAGGAACAGATGAAGGGGAAATAATGACGGCAGCTGAAGGAGGCTGCACACACACACACGGTGCGAGCCCCGGGATGGGGGATGCAGCCCTCCCGCACCTGCCTCCGCCGCGCCCCGGCCCCGCTGCAGCGCCCGCGCCGCCGCCTCCCCGGTGCGAGATTATGGCACCGTTGCGCCATGTTCTGCCCTCCCGGTGCCTCCCCCACCGCCACCCCCGGCCCCGACAGGGACTCCCCCCCTCCCCGCGCCGGGAAGCGGGGCGCCACTGGATGCGGCGGCGGCGGCGCCCAGCGCCATGCAGCATCCCGGCGCGGGGCGACAGCGGGATGGACCGAGCGCCAGCGGCCGACCTGTCAGCGCGTCCTTCCCTGCCGTCCTCCTGCCGCCGCTCCGGGGAGGGCACTGCCGGCCCCCGCCGCGACCGCTGCCCGGCCCGGCCCGCTGGCGAGGCGCCCCGCGACGCAGCAGCCCCCCCCGGCCCCCCGGCCCCGGTAGCCCCAGGTGCCGGGCGGGCTGCCCCTCCCGCCGCCGCCGCCGCCGGGGATGCGCTGGGCGTCCACGCCCGGGAGCCGACGCTGCTATTTCCAGCCGGCGGCTTAATCCTCCCGCAGCCTAATCCCCGCGCTACTGCCGCAGCAGCGCCGCCCCCTAGCCCGGTGCAGAGGGCGGGACGGAGCGGAGCGGAGCCGAGCGGCGCTGCCGCTGCCGCCGCCGCCGCCGCAGCTCGGTGCCCGGCGCAGTCAGGTGACCGCGGTCCCCCACCCGCACCCCGCTTCCCGGAGCGGCGGCGGGCACGGCCGGGGCTGCTCCCACGCCGGGGCTGTCCCGGGGGAGCCGCGGCTCGGGGGAGCCGAAGCCGCTGATGCTTCCCCGGTCTGCATCATGGTCCTGTCGCGAGCGCTTAAAATAGTGCCTTGAGGGATCCCAAAAGCGCGCACAGACTAGATTTGTCCAGGCTGTTGATATGGTGTTATTGTTATCAAAAACATCTGAAATATGTCCCCAGAAGGGTTTTTTCTCTGTTATCTAAGGTACCCTACGGGTTTTGGTTACAACCCAGCCACACTCGGGAGGATACATTGCTACAATTTCATTGTGTAATTGAAGCCTACCGAAGTGATCCGTGGAGTATTGGGAAGTGTAGCGTACATATATTACCATAAATTGGCTGAACTTAGTTTTGGAGTAAAGTGATTTAAGTGGGTGGGGTCTAAACGAAATGGCACTGGTAGCAATTATTCGAGCTGCCGGTAGAACAAATTTCAGAAGGCGATGTCAGCACATGTTATTAATTAGCTGGAGAAAACACTACGTACAGTCAGTATTGAAGAGTTGTGCACACCAAGTGATAATTGGGTTGTGTTGCATGCAAAGACACACAGCACCATTTTCGTTTGTTATATCAGGAACACTGACAAGGGATTGTGGTCTGTGACAGTATGAAACAGCAGATTTCTTACTACTTCATTCTTTCTTTTTCTTTTCTTTTTTTTCTTTTTTTTTTTTTTTTACCCAACAACAGAGATTTTAAATTTTGAGGTATCTTGAAAGCTTGAGAATGCTGTTAAAATAATGCTCAAAAGTTCAAGGTATCTTTTCTGTGGGAAATCTCGTCCAAAACAGCTGTAAAATGGTGCCTTGGACCACTGAAGACAGGTGTTCAGATTTGGACATTTTCAATATTGGTTAAATCCCCTTCTTTTTTTGCAGAGCAGATAGAGATGTTTGGATTTCAAGATTCAAAGGTTTTCTCAAATACAGTGTTTGACTATGGAGAGGAGCTTAATTTCAAAAAAAGTATATCACTGTTAGCAATGAGCATTAGGAGCCTGCAAACTTCAAGTATTTCCATAGAGAGACTCTCATATTCCAATAGTGAGAATGTGTCCATGCTTCTCAGCTCTGTTCCATATTGAGTAGCAAATAAATAAACCATGGAGTTGCACAGAAAGGTAATACTGTGCTCTTTAGCATTACTATAGTCCACTGTTCAAGTATGGACAAATTTTAGTAATACTTAGAAATTGTTTGTTACCACAGAAATGTTAACTTCCATGTCTAGGAATTTGTCATTAATGACATGGTTTATGGCAGCTAGAAGCATGTCTTAGCAGAGGCACACAAACAATTTTTCCTCTGTACTTCACCATCAGTTATTGGGGTCATACTCCCAATTGATTTCAGAGGAAAGAAACAATTGGGATCTAACGATACTTCATGTTCCATTACTGATGTTAAGAATGACTCTGAACTTTTCTTGGTAACACTGACAGGAGTTTAGAACGGCTTGACTTTAAAAGAGAAACTTCCTTTTTAACCGGTACATTACAGAAGAAAAAAAAAGCTACACAAATTGTTTTATTGTTTTGGAATTTATTGACTCCACACAGCAGAAATTTAGAATGGTTTTATTTCCTGCAAGCAGGATAGTTTTCAACTTTATGCTAGCCAAAGTATTTAATTAGTGATACTGCTTTTTTTAACATCTAGTGTACATCTTCAGTGTGAAGTTCTGGATACTTTATGAACTAGTCCATATTGTTATCAACAGTCACTGTCACTGAGATTCTCATCTGTCTCACCAAAAATTATGATTGTTAATACCCAGCTAATTTTTTATCTTCATATTGCCAAAATATTGAAGCAAAAGATAAGTCAGATAATCTGTACTATTGCCTTAAAATTTATGCAGTTTCTTAATGAAAACCTAAGGTGCTTTAAGAAGGTAAGACAAGAAGACATTAGTACTCTTTAAATTCAGAGTGAAGGGATGTGATCTACTGAAGCTGTATTACTTTTGGATTTAAAACCAACCACCACTCCCCCCAAAATAACCCAACCCCCCAGGACAGGATTTCGTGTTTGTATTGAAAGCCACACAGGAGACAGGAACCACCTTGAATAAGGATACACCACAGAGGGAGCTGCCTAGGATTAAATAGATGGCGAGCTGGGGTTGCCATTTCACTGGGTACTTTCAGATGAAGTCCCAAGAAGTTGCCTGGTGTGCTGGCTCTGTGAAACCCAGGCTCACAGCTTGGCTGGTGGGGGTCTAGATGAGGGTCACTTAAACAGCTGGAAAGGGTTCTTGCTGTTAAAAATAACACAGAATCGATGATGTCTTTCTTGACTCTTTGTAAATGTGCTTTCAACTTAATAATGAAAGCCTTAAAGAAGAGAAGATATATTAATGACAAACTGAATAGCCATTTTGAAGCAGAAAGATAATTCCTAACTGAATTTGAAGTGAGAAAAATAGAGTTGGTCTGTGTTAACCTCACACTCAAGCACACGTGGAGGGAAGTAGGCATGTGTAGGGCTGATTCATCACACCTCACCCCTGAATTCTGCCCCAGAGATGCCCATCTCTTGGCTGATGTAAGGCACGTAGACTTTATTTTCATGCGCTAAGGTGCACTGAAAATCTGAGGGTTTCTCACCATAATTATGCTTTTTTCCTGATTTTTTCCCCAGTTTCTCTTGTCAAGTCTTCCAGCTCGTCAGCCAGCTTCGATGCCCTTTCCTCCTGCCTTCACAGGCCAGGCAGAGATTGAGACCCCAGCCTGTCTGTGCCTGAGCCTGCATCCGACCCAGTGCTGTTGTTCTGCTTCTCCCTCTTGCTCTTAGGGCCAGTGGTACAAACAGAGCTCCTGGAGAGGCTGGCTGTAACCATAGTGATAGCAGCAGTCCTGAACAGATCTGTTTAGCTCTGGGGAGGGGGGGGGAAAGACTTTTCAAAGGACAAGCATCCTCCAGACTTCATATCAGGTTGATGGAGCCAGGTAGTTCACATCATGCTTTCTCTACAATGCAACAGAAGTTGCAAAACAGCAGTAGGTACTCAAATCATGCAATACTCAGGAGTTTCTGCACTTCTGCTGTCAAGTATAACCTCATTGCTTGGTCTTGTGTAGGTTCTGTCCACAGCTGTTTGTTCAGCCTCTGTTCTCACCCTCCTTAATGGCATTTGTTTCAGTAGTTCCTTTGGTTGCTGTGATATAAAGCAGCACTGACAAATTAAAGATGTTTGTCAATTTTCCAGTCAGAATTATAATCTGAGAAGGATGCAGCCTGAATGTGTTTGTACATCCCAGGCAGAAGATTCATCTCATTTTGGAGAACTACCTGAGCTACTGAATCTAGGAGAACAGCCATACACAGTGGTAAGGGTACAGGCTTAGTGGCATGAGTATATACTCTGCATCCCATAGGAAATGCCTTTTTTGTGTCTTTGAGGAACTTTGAAAATTAAAAAGCTAATTTAGATAAGAGAGAGAATTAATAGATGAGAAAAGTTACACAAAGCATAGCTAATGAGCTCTTTTACTGCTGGTTAAGCCGTGTCAGAGTGAGGTCACGTTCTGCAGAATGTGGAGTGTCTGCACATTACAGAGCTGATGGTTTCAGAGAGATGGTAATTGGCATGTTCTGTACAGATGATAAAGGTGTGTTCCTTCCCCTTACCCCGCACCCTGGTTCCCACGAGGACCACCTTAAAATCTGTATTTTCTTAGAGATCTCTGTTGACTGATGCATTAATGGACACCATCATCCACATCACAAGGACAGCTTTTGCTGCTGGAGTAGTTTTTTGCGTTATGTCTGGCAATAACACTGAGGTTAATAGACCAGAAAGGGGACAGATGGATGTATGTATCAGAAATGGAGCAAAAGTCCTGTACTTGTGAAAGTCAGTACCTATGAAATTCCTCACTATTTAGTATTTTGTAGTCTTGATAGAGCTTCTAATGCAAAAGTCTGGAGGTATGAAGTGTATTGCACTTCCACACAACAGATTCAGACTAGGCCTAAATTTGTCTTTTTCATTTTTATTTTACCATTTCTTTTATACAGAGCACTAATCTTTTACAGATTTATTTTAAAAAGTCTGTGTATCGAAAGCTACCTAACTTCCTGCTTCTATAGGTAATAGGTATTCTAATATAGTCAATGTGGAAATAGCCGCTTTCTTTTGATATTAGACAGAGGGAAGAATTAATTTAAGAAAGTTGCAAGTCAGCTTCAATACAAGCGCTTTGTATTCCACTGAAGCTATTGATATTGGAAAGGAGAACATTTATCAAAAAAATTAGATGAGGACATACTGAGCTTCACAGACATCATAAAACAGATTTGCAGGAGTATAGAGAAACAGATAATTGAGTACTAATTGACATTTAAAATTTGTTACTCATTGACTAATTGACGGTCATGTCTTTGAATACAAAGTAACTCTGAAGGCATTGATCACAACTGCATCATTTCCACAAAGAGGGCAGGATGCTGCCTGAAACAAAATCCAAATTTCATGTACCACAGAAATTTTGATCTATGGAAAGACGATAGGCTTTTAAGCTACCTTGGCTTTGTGGATATTCAGTTTTCCTTTTCAAGAAAAAAAAAAACTTTTTTGGCAAAGATGTATTATTTTGGTATTCATATTTTGGTATTCATTA